GTGCCAGCTGAGCCAATAGGCCATGGCACCTCCCATATTTGGTGTGTGGCCCACACACATGGCCAGAGGGTTGGCTGTTTGTCTACCTGGTATGCCCAGAAATTCCAGTCACTGCCACTCCCTCGGTGTCTGGTTTGCCGCAGTGTCAATTTCCCCACCAAAGTGCCATGGGGCAGGAGAGGGGGTGCCGCGCCCTGCTAGGATCGTCCCTGGGGACGGGGTGCAGATGCAGGCATTGGCACCTGGGCAGCAGAGATCCATGGTATGCCACTGGCAGACTTGCAGGGAAGCATTGAAAGCCAGGGCAGGCAGGGGGTGAAGGGGTGGGGGTGTGGCAGGGATGGGCCAACCTTGTTGCTGCCTCCTGCCAGCTTCCCCTGGGTCCTACTGCCCCAGGCTGCCATCATCTTTGACAGGCAGCCAGGAGCTGATAAATAGTAATTTTCAAAACTTTTTAGGGGCTCTGCGGGCTGAACACAATTGTCTGGCAGGCTGGATCAGGGCCACGGGCTGTATTTTGCCCACCCCTGGCCTAGACTGTGGCAGCAGCAGTATGTCTGGTAAGGGTAGACCTGAGTATGCCCTGTTTACTTGCCTCTGCTGATGTGCTCCAAACAGAGGAAGCAGAGTATTGCTTGAGGAAGCTGTATATATCTGAGAGGGAGATGTGGCAGAAATACCACAGAAACAGACAGAGAAGCCAACCAGGAAACTCCAAAGAGCATTCAGAGAAGAACATGTACTGCAATGTTGAGAGAAAGCTAAGGAGGAGAGATTTTTGGACAGAGTGCTGGCTCAAAGGAGGCTTGGAACTATGAGCAAAGACGTGGTCTATTTATGTTAGATCCTATTACGCTCAGGGAAAAAGGACTTTAGGTACATTCTTTGTAAATAAACAGGTTTGCATGATCAGTTCCTCTTAATAAAAACTGATCATAAAACTTCAAATACTAATTGCTTATGTTAAATCACTATAAGCTATAATACTTCTTTCCTTTATCCCTGGACATTATATTTTGTATTTTACTCCACTGTTTTATGCAGTGCTATGATTTATAGCAGGGAGGAGAACGAATATTTTGCTGTACTTATATATCTTATATATTTTTATATATTAAAAAGCATGTATTTTGAGTAGATATTAGAAGTGCCTATGCTCAAAATAGAATAGAAAATAATCTATGCTGAATCATTTAGTTTGCTGCATTCTATAAATTCTAGATTTGACACCATTTTTAGCATAAGCAGATCTCACTTGTGTGAAATTTAGCTTTGCTCACCTGAGGCTTTCAAAGGGCAAGGTTATAATTCACATGAGTGCATCTTTAATCTGTCAAATGAACAGAAGGATCTATTGTTGAGACTGCAAAGAATCAGATATTATGGGTCTTGAGGCAGAATTAATATCACCTACAAAAAGGACATGCAAATTTACTGTGTCCAGGGAAAATGATGCAGGGATTGTGCAGCACAGTTTTCCTTCAACTGAGAAGTAAAGCAGATATGCAAGAAAAGCTGTAGTTGGCACTGTAGGAGTCTTTATATGTGCTCCAGGATCGGGGGGTAGGGGGGAGGTGGGGAGGAGAGGAGAGGAGCCTTTAATTAGAGTGGCTCCCGGGAGCCAATTAAAGCATCCACACCATCTCGTGTATTCAGCATCCCACGCTTCAAAATGGCGATGGAGGCACTTTAACTAAAGCTTGTTTGATGAGCTTTAGTTAAAGTGTCCCCGCTGCTATTTTGAAGTGCAGGGATGCTGAATTCATTTGATGTCAAAGCTGCTGGAGCGTGCAAATTAGCACACTCAATTAATCATTCTAATTAGAATGTGCTGGAGCAGGCATCAGGCACATGCATAGATAGCCTACAAATTCGAATAGTAGCCATAGGCCTCTGTGAATCTCCTACGTGGTTTTCTAAGATAGTAGTTCTTTAATATGAACCAAAGCCTCGGTGCCTCCTTTGTATTCTCCTATAATATATGTAATCCTCTCTTCTGATTCTATGATTATAGGGGTACTGTAATGCACCTTCCATCCAAATAGCCACTCTGCACTTTGGCTTCAGTGCCTAATGCAGGCATTCTCAACATTTTTAGATCCAAAGCACCCCTCAGAAAATGTGAGCTTTTACTTTTTCTTTTTTCCTACAGTAATATAGTAGAACAATTCTTCAGTTTCACAGAACTCAGAAAGACCAAAACAAGTCAGAATGCTTTTGACACCATGGATTCCTCTTTGAAAACTCCATGTTCATGTTGTGAATCACGTGTAGGTCTTTGCACACCTAACAGTACTAACACTGCATGGCACTCCAGAGCACCCTTAAAGGGATCTAGCAGCACTCTGGTAGAGATTCATTGGCTTAATGGAAAAGGGCACTCACTAATCACAAAAACAGAGGCCAGGACTTAACCACTTCTAAAATGTCTGAAATTAAAAGACACATACATGTGCAATTGCTATAGGTTATTTTAAGCTAGTAATATAGGATTTTTTTCAAGCACTGGAAAAATGGCTATTTATCATGTTGTCTTTTTAAAGAGAACAAACATTAGAATAAGACATAAAATAGTTTAAATAGTTTAGAAAGTCACAGATCTAAAAGCCCAAACCTGGAACTCAGTGCGCAATACCTGATAACAGGGTTAGCCTTAAAACGGGATACACTTGTTATTAATGACAGCCTTAGGGCCACAAAAAGGTTATATAAAGTCATCAGCAAACTTCGACAAATATAAAAATAATAATAGCTTGAACAATTAATTAACTGATACTGAGCTCAGCCATTTGTTCTGGTTAACATTTTTGCTGACAAATGCATATTTGGATCAACAGAAACATTTAGTAAAATTCAAAGCAATTTTGGCAAACTGTTTTGGTCAGAAAGGACACTGGGAAATTCCCCAAAAGTTGAAACACGTTGTTTCAACACAGAGCAGATATTTTTATTTTCCAAACCAAAGCATTCCATTTAGCAATTTCCTGCACTTTTGTGCAGGAAAAAATATTTTTCAAGTTTTTAAAATTCTCAAAACTGAATGTTTCATTTTAAACAGAAATTACATTTTTTAACCTTAATTTTCTGAAAAGTTTAAAAAATATATATTTTGGATTGACCTGAACTATTTCCCTCCTCTCCCACCCTGATATTTTGGTTCAGACAGTGAACCAAAAAAATCAGTTGTTTGCACAGCTGGAGTTAATATTTTTTATAGCTTACTTATGGGAAAACATGCAAAGAAAGACTCCAGAAACATCCTGTAAATGTTATAAATTTTTGTCCCCTCAAGAAAAGTATGCGAATATCATTTCCTACCTGGGTGCCCACACTGTTCTCAAAAATGTAATGTGCATATGGCAACAAGACTGATCTGCTATCATATACATGACAGAGAATGAAAACAGACAGACTTTAAGGCATGTACAATTACATGTAAATAATAAACACAGAACCTGAAACTAGGCCAATTTTGCATATGTGTATATTATAGCAGACCAGACATGGTATATGACAAACAGAAAGAGAATATAAGTTTTCATCCATCTGGTACCATGGCATAGATAACTTTAAAATAGCTTTACATTTTAAGACTATTATATAAAAGCAGACCATCATAAAATAACAAATTTCATAAAAGGAGTTTCCTTCTCTTTGTGAAAAATGATGGCTTCTGATGGGTGAGGAGCAATGTCTGCCCAATTCCTACAGCAGCCCTGCTTGTGCCCCAGAAAGCAAGGCAGATGGGCA